CTGAACGACTGAGCACATGCACACACACATGGTCATCTATAAACTAGGCATTTTTCTCCTATAGTTGCTGTGAGGATAAAGAATAAACCAAAGTGCTCATATTTAGTCATGGGTAGTAAGGACTGTCATCCTACTCTTCTTCACCTTTCACCACCATCACCACCAACTCAAGAGAACAAAGGATCCAAGATTCTGAGCCGTTAGTCAACCATCACAAGGATTCTAAAGATTCTGTTGCTAAGCCTAGAAGGACAAGCAAATTCTGAAAACGCGAGCTTCCAAGATGGAATTCTCAGTAGGACTCTGCTTCTAGAAAAGTTCTTAGCAAAGAAAAAAGGGCAAATACTGCCCACGAACATTGAGCAAACCCCAAACACTCTTCTCACCACTGCCAGCCAGGGTGAGAGTTCCATGAGCCTCTCAGAAGTTCCCAGTGACCCTTCCTATACTACCAAATGGTTATTACAAATATGTTAGTCCCACAAAGTCCCAAGAAGAAAAATCCATCTTCTTACCAAATCAAACCAGCTATTACCCTTAGTGCTCCATCCCTTCCTGAGCCCACTGGGCTACTAGCCCGGTCTTTCACTGAGGCGGTCCAAGTGGAATACAGCAAAGCCAGACTGCTTGGGTTCAAATCCTGATCTCATCACTGTTTCACTCTGTGATCTTAGGCAAGTTACTTAGTCTCTCTGTGCTCCACTTCCTTCACTTATAAAAGGATAATAATAGTACTGATGCTAAGAGGTATAATATGTGGTCCATGCTCAATAAACTCAGCAATGATTAGTATTCTAAACACTCCAGCAGCATGCATGTGGCCAGAAGCCACATCTTTGGGACCTGGGCTCCTTGGGGGCTTGTCACAGTCACTACTTTTCCAAGAACAGACTTTCTCTTTTAGGAGACATAAGCCAATAGCCTGGGCAGAACCACAGGCCAAAGAAGGAGGTGGTACCAGGGGAACTCCAGAACCACAGCAGCCACAGACCATGGCTGGCCGCGAGAGGCTCAGGTGCGGGCGGAGGGAGGGGGCTGTGATGAGACGCACCCCCACCAAGGAGCCAGCTCATGGCCACTCCCAGGGGTTTGCAGGCGACACAGGCTTCTTCCTTGGGTAGCTGTCAAGCTAGTGTCATCTTCTCTTACCCTCAGTTTCCCCATGTCCTAAATGAAGGCCATGGATTTCCAGGTCTTCCCAGGACCAAGGTGGAGGGAAGGCTGGGTAAGAGCTGAGGAACACAGGCTTCCTGTCCATTCACAGCACTCAAGGTCTCAGTACCCCCCCAGCCCCCCACCGCGCACACCTCCCAGCACAGGGCCTTCCCCTTCCGGAGGGGCCAGCACAAAACCAAGAAAGAAGGAAGTGCTTAAAGTTCTGTTTTGTGTGGCAGGAGGGAGAAAGGGTCGAGTAGCGGTCTCAGCACCATTTCCCTTTCCCAGGAGGACCTTGCTCATAGAAGGCGAGTGAAGGGAGGAGAAATAAAGACTGGAAGAGGGTCTCCATCACTGGACAGACATTCCCTGTGTTCCGGAGGCAGGCCACACACCTATACACCAGGCTGCACCTTATAAAGGGCTTGCATGTAAATTATCCCTTTTAAAAGCCTGTAACATGCATATCATTTTTATAACATAGAAACTGAGGCATAGAGATATTAGGTAACATCTCTGAGATCACCTGGAGAGAAAGCAGTGGCACCAGGTCTTGGCTCCACATTAAATATTCCTGTCACCACGTCACAGGTGGCTCTGGCTATAATTCACCTACCCTGGTCCTTCAAGCCTGAGTCAGACACCCTCCTAAGTGGCCTCTCAGCTTTTCCAGACCCAGTTCTTACCATCAAGAATCAAATATCTCTGTGCTACACTATGGCATCACTGACTCAATGGACATGAGTTTGAGCAAACTCTGGCAGATAGTGAATGACAGAGAAGCCTGGCAGAGACTGTGTGGCTGGGCTCTCCCTCAGGACTACTGCCCAGGGCCTGGCACTTGCTCTGTCGATGGGCACCTAATAACTATCTGTCATGTGGATGACCAACTAACAAAGAGAGGAGACCCTGAGAATAACCAGAAGTGCAGAGTCTGGCCCCCGAGACATCTGATTTTGACCCCACCAAATCTGCTCTCCCAATCCGTGTCTCTGCATGCCGAGGGGACACTGAGTCTCACCTGGGCAACCCCGACTTGAGAAAGAACCCAGGACTCCTTCCAAGCAGCTGCCTGGCCACCATCTAAGGTTCGACTGGGGCCAAGACACCCAGTGAGGCAGGCTTCCCAGTTATCGTCAGTGTCCATGATAACTGACATCCGTGCCCCTACTCTCATGCAGGCTGGGCTCACGGTCCCCAGACAGGACATGTACATCAGGTCTCTGCAAACACTGGGGAACATATAGGTGGCCACCTCCCACTTAATAGTAATAGGATCAGGTGGAGGGTGCTGGGGCCCGAGTCATCAGCCTTGGGAAAGAGGCAGCCAGATCCAAGCATCACCAAACAGAACCTTTCTCCCTCCACAAAGGGATGGAAGTGGCCAGGAGAAAGGAGCTCAAAAGCAACAGCATTCCTGAGGGACTCAGCGTGACCCGGGCTGGCTCTGCTGACGCAGAGGACAAGCCCAGGGGCAGCTGCTGCACTCCTGGTCGGCACAGCCAAGGCAGAGTCTGCAGACCCTGGCTGCAAACACGGCAGGGTGATCCAGAGGGTGAGAGAGCTGGGGAAGCATGAAGCAGGAAGGTACAAGGGGAGACCTCCTGGAGAAACTGAAATGAGCTTTGGGCACAGCAAGCTACTTCCTTCAGGACAGTGTTAAACAACTGCTCAGTCATGTCTGACTCTTGGCGACCCCATGGACTATAGGCCACCAGGCTCCTCTGTGCATGGGATTCGCTGGGCAAGAATACTGAAATGGATTAAAAAAAAAAAAAAAAGAATACTGGAGTGGGTAGCCATTTCCTTCTCCAAAGGATCTTCCCATCCCAGGGATTGAACCTGGGTTTCCTGCATTGTAGGCAGATTCTTTGCTGTCTGAGGAACCAGGGGAGCCCAGAGTCACGTCTAATTTTCATGCACATCTCTTAGCATGGCTCTCAAGAGCATAAGGGCCTCCAGGGAAATAACCAGATCTTATTTGTCTTTGAGAGCCCAGCCCAAGACCAGGACATGGTACTGCCGGTTCCAAGGAGGTTGGCGGGAGGAAAGATGGAGTGATCCATGTGGGAGAAAACGGCAGAACTGACATGGAGAGTGGATGAGCTTCATGGAAGGTGAGAAATGAGGAGGCACCAAAGGGGAAGGAAGTGAGGGCTGACGGGTGACCGTGGGAGCTCAAAGGCCAGTGTGGCGTGTGGGCAGTGTCAGCTGGAGAGGGTCCCTGGAAGGGAAGTAAGGAAGAGGGAGAGAAGAAAAACAGTCCTGAAATAACACCACCAGACAGCAGGCTCTCTGCTGAGAACGCAGGACTCTAGAGCCCCTATAACAGGCAATTATCAGGGATTCGCAAACACGGGAATTACGGAAAGGAAACAGAGGCCGGCCACTCGGCTCCATCAGCCACCAGCAGGGCAGACAACTGGCCACAGACCCCAGCCTCCGGACTGGGTGCTGAGTCCTGCTTCCTCCCGCACGGGGTGGACAAGTGGAGAAAACAGAGTGCGCACCTCAGGTGCGATTAGTGGCCCAGCGCACCAGGGCAGACCCAGAATCCAGTCTTTGGCAAGCTCCCTCAGTCCGCACGCCCCTGGGGAAACGGAGTGGTCCGTGATACCTCCCAAATCAGGCCCAATGCGGGCCCAGCCGCCGAGTGCGGGCCAGTAGACTCTCACTGGCCCCAGGATCCCGGGAGAGAGGGGGACAGGCCCCTGTTTGCAGAGCCCCGAACAGCTTCCGCCTCTCAGCAGCCCTCAGCACCGGTGACCTGGTGTGCAGGGGACGCTGGGGGCCCCACTACAGGGAGGTGGAGGCCTGGCTGCCAGTCCTGCCTGGGCACTGACACCGAGAGTGACCTTTTACTGCCATCTGTAAAGAAACTTAACAACCCATTTCCACTCTCTATGGTAAGATTTAATGTTTCCAAGTTCCCGACTCATTAGAAAAGACCGTGAGGCTGGGAAAGATTGAAGGCAGAAGAAGAAGGCGGGGCGGGGGCGGGGGCGGTGACAGACGATGAGACGGTTGGTTGGCATCACCACGGACATGAGTTTGAGCAAACTCCAGGAGATGGAGAAGGACAAGGAAGCCTGGTGTGCTGCAGTCCACGGGGTCGCAAAGAGTCAGACACAACGGAGCGGGACAGAGCGACGGAACAACAGCAACAAAGATTCTTTCCGCCAAATGAGAGCTCCCTGTTTCAGGGTCTCCGACAGGTTCAAGACACAGGTTCCCACTTCCTTCCCAAAGGGCGCCATCCGCTTTCCGAGAAGACCAAGCAAGCCCCACCCTGGAGTCCTAAGCTCCAGGTTCTACGGCAACCGAAGCTCTGGGCTCCCGGTTGCCTTCTGCCTGGGGGGCTTAGATGCCTTCTGACCAGCAAGACAAGAGCAAATTCCCGCAGCGGCCAAGGATTCCAGAACGCCAGAGCCGCCTGGAAACTTCCCTCCCTTGCCCAAACCCCCGCTCGCAGCCTGCGCCGCGGCTTCCTTCCCGAGGCGCACGGACAGCGCGGAGATAACCAGATGCAGAGACGAGCCCACTTCCAGGCCAGGGAACGGCCCGGGGTTGGGGTGGAGGAGAGGACCGGGGGAGGGGACTGCGGGGCTGAGCCGAAGGTCCGGCCAGGCACCCGCCAAGCAGGAAATTCCACCTGTCGGGCCGGCGCCGCGGTCACAAACCGGCAGCGCAGCGGCTCCCTCGGCCGAGACAAGCGCGGCGCTGCCGGTTCCCCGGTCCCCCCGGCGCCCAACTCCCCCCGATTCCCTGACCCCCGGCCGCCCCCCGGAGCCCCCCGACCCCCGAGCCCCCGCGCGTCCCTCCTCGACGGCGCCCGCGCCGCCCACCTCCGGCCGCGAGCTGTACTTGAGTCCAGCGCCGAGGCCACCGGAGCCTCCTGCGCCCCTGCGCTCCCTCTCGCTCTTCATGGTCCCGGAGGCCGTGGGGCTCTGGCCATCGCCGGGGGGCCGGGGCCGGGGCGCGGGATGGGCCTCCTTCAGGTCGCAGGCCCAGCGCTCCGGCCGCCCAGGCTCCGCCCGGCCCTTCCTGTCGCGCGCAGGTAGTTTCAGGGTGTGGCTCCCGGGTCGCCCCGCCCCGACCGCGGCGCCGCCGCACCTTCCCTGCCCGTGCCCGCCCCGCCCACTCCTCCCCCGCCCCGCAGTCCTGCCCCATCTCTGCCCCCTCCCCTCCCCATTCTCTGCCCCCACCCCATCCCCGCCCCCACCCACCGGGCTCGCGGCCGCCTCCTCCCCTGGGGAGCCGGGAAGCGCGGCCACCTCCCGGAGGCGGTGGAGCCGCCAGGCTGACTACCTGCCCGGTGGTGGCCCTCGTCTCGAACAGGCCCACGGGAAGGAACGAGCGATGGCGAAACTTAACCCCCCTGCCCTCCTCCTCACCTAGAAGTGGCCCTTTCCGCTGGAAGACAGTCGCCCAGCCGCCTCTCGGAGGCCCGCCACGATTTCCCTCCGTCCCTGCCTCCCTCCACCTTCAAACTCTCCCCACCTTGCTCCACATCCAGGTCCCACTTAGAACCCTTCCAAACCCAAACAGAACTCAGAACCGCCCTTGGGCCAGCCTGCCGCTCCAGCCACTGCCCTCAGCTCCCTCCTGCCAGCAGCTGCCCACCCAGCCCTCCCCAAGTTCTTCAACCCTGGGCCGTCTTCTCTGTCCCTGGCTCCATCACCCATCTGCAGCATCTGATACCCATACGGGCCTCCAATGCCCACCTTCCCTGGATTGTAGTCCTACTTTCTTGCCCCTAAATATCAAGGTTCCCAAAGCTCTCTTTTTCAGCCTCTTTTTCCTCTACACTTTCTCAGCAATTCATCTTGTGGTTTCAAGGAGGTAAATCTGGGATTTCCCTGATGGTTCAGTGGCTAAGATTCAGGGGGCCAGGGTCGATCCCTGGTCAGGGAACTAGATCCCACATGCTGCAATTAAGACCTGGCGAAGCCAAATAAATATTTTTAAAAACTCACAAAGCCAACATGCCCTGCATTGTTAAAATAACTTAAAAATAAAAAGGAGGTAAGCCTGCCTTCCTAGCATTGACATCACAAAAGAGTGGCAATCTGGCATTAATAGTTCTTTGGGAACTTCTCCATGCTCTACTGGTATTACACAGTCAACAAGTAATACTGAGCACAGACTGTGTTTTGCTCTAGGTACTGGGAGACAAGAGTAAACAAAATAAAAGCCCTGCTTTGCAGCCAGCAAATGTCCGTCTAGTCAAGGCTATGGTTTCTCCAGTAGTCATGTATGAATGTGAGAGTTGGGCTATAAAGAAAGCTGAGCCCCAAAGAACTGATGCTTTTGAACTGTGGTGTTGGAGAAGACTCTTGAGAGTCCCTTGGACTACAAGGAGATCCAACCAGTCCATCCTAAAGGAAATCAGTCCTGAATATTCATTGGAAGGACTGATGCTGAAGCTCCAATACTTTGGCCACCTATGTGAAGAACTGACTCGTTTGAAAAGACCCTGATGCTGGGAAAGATTGATGGCAGGAGAAGAGGACGACAGAGGATGAGATGGTTGGATGGCATCACCTACTCGATGGACCTGAGTTGGAGTAGGCTCAGGAGTTGATGATGGACAGAGAAGCCTGGCGTGCTGCAGTTCATGGGGTCTCAAAGAGTTGGACACGACTGAGCAACTGAACTAAACTGAACTGAACTTGCAGTTGGCAAGCTCCAAATGTCCTTCCCAGACTTGTTCATCTTGCACTGTTTCCTCCAGCTTTAATATGATCATTCTCCTAGGCTCCAAACCTGGGAGTAATCTCTGACTCTCCACCCTCCTTTGCATCTCGTACGTAATTTGTTCCAGACCTCACCAAGTCTTTTTCTTAAGTGAGTGATGTGTAGTGTCCTCTCTTTCCTCTCCATTCAGAGGATCCCACTCCAAGCTCTTACCCACTGTTGCCTGGATTAGAAAGTGAAAGTGAAAGTCACTCAGTCGTGCCCAACTCTGTGCAACCCCCATGGACTATACAGTCCATGGAATTCGCCAGGTCAGAACACTGAAGTAGGTAGCCTTTCCCTCCTCCAGGGGATCTTCCCAAGCCAGGGATTGAACCCAGGTCTCCCGTATTGCAGGCGGATTCTTTTTGCCTGTATTAGTGTAAGAATCAAATGGAGAACGCACCCACTGTGTCCGTGGAGACAAGCCGTGGTGCTGCGCTCTGGCCTGAGGCGCCGGGGCACCTAGACAGGGAGGAGGTCAGCTCCATAGTCTGAGCCACTGTCCAGACAGTGGCCCAGACTATGAGCAAGAGGATCCCTTCAGCAGTAAATAAGATAAAACAACTTCTTAAAGATAAGCCTGAGGACTTTCCTGCTGGTCCAGTGGCTAAGACTTCACACCGACAGTACTGAGGATCCAGGTTCAATCCCTCATCAGGAAACTAGATTCTACAAGCCACAACAGAAAAAGATCCTGCATGCCGCAACTAAGACCTGGTACAGTCAAATATATATATATATATTTTAAAGATAAGCCTGAACACATAGTTTTGAAAATTGGTGTCCCAACCAGGGGTTGTAATGGCCTTTCCTGCGTGCTAGAATATACAAAGACAAAAGGAAACTGTGACAAAGAAATTGTTCAAGATGGAGTCAGACTGTTCATCAAGAAGAAAGCACAGCTAGCACTCTTAGAAACGGATGATGCTGAAGACACATTGTTTGTGTTCAATAACCCAAACATCAAAGGAAGGTGTGGCTACCAAGAAAGCTTAATATTTGACTCTTCAGGACTATGCAGTCTGTGAGCCCCAGGAGAACTGCAGAAGCTCCAAGGTTTATTGAAGAAACCACGTGACTATCACATGCTTAAGGTCTGCAGTATCTGGCCACCCTACAAGGAGAACAAAGTGATGCATTTTGAAAAAAAAAAAAATAATAATAATAAGCAAATGGATCTCCTGCCTCCAGTTTGGCCACCCTTTTCTCTCTCCTACACATGGCAGTCAGATCACTCATCGTACATCACAGCTCCTTTAAAACCCTCGGTGTTGGACTCCCCTGGCGGTCCAGTGGTTGGGAATCTGCCTGCCAATGCAGGGGACACAGGTTCAATCCCTGATCCAGGAAGATTCCACATGTCAAAGACTCCACAACTAAGTCAGTGTGCCTCAACTACTGAGCCTGCAGAGAGCCCGAGAGCTGCAACAAAGACCAGCGCAGCCAGTAAATAAATAAATGAAGCCCACAGTGTCTCCTGGATCAAATCCTGGACCTCCTTGCCTGGCTGTCACAGTGTGACCTGTCTTCCTTTGCTAACTCACCTCCCAGCACTCTTACTGGAATCCCTTCTCGGCAGCCAGACTTCCCCACTATTGCACTCTTCCTAATGCTTCTCACCCACTGGAAGCCTTTCTCCTTCACAGACATCTCTGCACATCAGGAGAAAGTCACCTGCACAACAATAGTCATTTGTATTCTTCACAGAATATTTCTAGGTCTCTGCCTTCTAGGCACAGGTTAGCATTTGCAGTTAGATGTGGCCATATGGCTAGCTGTGGGCAGGGAAATGACAAATGGCAAATGATATACACCTCTTCCAGGTAGGAGCATGAGGAGGCAATGCACAACCCAAAAGTCGTCTAGGCAAGACCCCCATCACCCCACAGCCCAGTTGCAGTGAGCAGAGATAAATTGTGGTATGTATCACCTTTTCTTTGCATTTCTGTCAATGTCTTATGCACCTTTGAGTCCTCAGGGCCTAGCACACTAATTGGCACAGTAAATCATGTCCACTGAATAAGTAGCAAAAAAAAAAAAAAAAATCTGCCACCTTCCACCGTATGAAGCATTCTAAAGCTAAATAGAAGATGTCAGAAAGTAATTTTCTGCATAATGGGACAAAATCACCCACGGAATTTGTAGATGTACAAAGTAGGTGCTCTGCAGTTACCAGTGAAGCAGTAGTCTTCAGATAGGGTAGATGATCGAAAGTAACCCACCCAAGTAATGAAAAGGAGAGACACTCATGGCACTGAAACTGCTGCTCCACCCCCACCCCACACACAAAAGAAGCATCTCATGTTGTCTGCCAGGTTCCTTCAGCATCCCCTCTTACCTCATGGAGCTGTGAATGCCTTACACGTAGAAGGCACCCAGGGCTGTCATTTGAATGCAATGTACATGTGTGTGTTTACTGCAATCCCAGATTAAAAGAAGGTGATGCAGGCCAAGAGCCTTCCCATGACACTGTGTCTGTCAGCTTACTGACTGCACACCATGCATGTGACAGAGGAAGAAGTGTAACCACATATCCTGACACTAAACCCATGACATTTGAGGTCAGTGCTTCTGTTCCTAAATGGTACGTGAAAAAAGCCAAGAGCAGAAGCCTGATCTTCGTAATATGCTCACATGCTCATCAGTTTCATGGCCTCGTGCTTTCCTGCAGCCACGTTTAGAGACCTCTTACTTGGACCAGGAAAATCAAAACACCCTGGTGTGCAAGCTCTAGTTGAGAAGAGCTCTGGATTCTGGGGGAGCTGAGGGGGACAGATGAACTCTGCCTGTGACACCTTCATAGGAGTGACATTTGGGCTGAATTTGGATTTCACCGGGACAAGGAGAGATGGCAGGGTGGGGTGATATGGGGAAGATGCCAGGAGGATGCGGTGTTGCTGTCAAGGTGAGGGGCGTGGCTGGGCGTCCTGCAGGGAGATGGCAGAATCCTTGTGGCCACCAGACAATGGTTATTTAGAATCTAGTGCATGCTTACCCTCCACAGGGAAGTAGGTGTCAAATACAGTCCTTGTTCTAGAAGGTTAGGATACATTCACAGACGAGGGCTCCCTAACTGGTTGACTCTGCTCTCCCCCACTCTTTCCAGACCTCCTTGAGTGCAAACTGGTCCTCACAGGAGTGGCAACTGCAGGCAGGCCTGGCATGATCTGCCTCATCTGGGTTTGCA